TGCAGAATGTACAGTACTGTACAGTACATATTTATTTTTAATTCAGGATTAAAAATCAATTTACTAAACTTTTAAGAGGAGAAAAAAAATAATTTAGGATTTATATCTCCTATGAAATATTTATAAACTTCGATATCTTATTTATTTATTTTTAAATTCTTCCTATTGAATCTCTCCCGAAAAGCGTATCAAGCGAATAAATTACAGAATTTTATTAAGATATTCGTTTATAGATGGTCTATTACTTGATATTAATCTAATTTAAAGAAATTCTTGTTTTTTATGGGATGATGTCTCATTTTAACGTAATGGCACATAGAAAAAAAATTACTGATTTATCTAAAATCCTCTACATCTTCTCGATAAATTCTTCTTTTAAGCACGAAATTCTAACTTTATATGTAATATTTATGAAGTAAAATATGCAAAAATATGTTATTTTATTTAAATTAAAAGCTTCGAATAACTTAAAATATATTTAAATTGATAAAGGGTGGAGATTCAGCAGTAATTTCGTACAAACTTTGGGCNAATTCAATTATGAATTTAATATATATATATATATTAAATTCATCCAAACTCTTTAATTAGTAATTATATTTAGAGCAAGAAAATTAATTACATAGTCTGTATTATTTTTAGAATATAGAATCAGTGATAAATGGTGTTGAATAATTAAACAGTTGTTACATTTATAGAACTTTCTATTGCTTGGATTTTTATAATTCCACATAATGTAGAGAAAATCCTATTTAATGTAGGCCTACTTTATAACTTTAAGTAGAATGATTCTATTTTTGGTACAGTCGAATGTGATATTTTTAAAGTATACATTTCACAAAGAAAATTTGAAGAAAATAAAATTTTATCATCGATTTTTAAGCTATCGGAATGAAAAGTTTAATGCAATATCGAATAAAAAATCATCCGAAAAGCTTCTTTCGAAATTAAAAATATATATAAATTTAAGCTTAAAAGAATCGTTATTTTATAAAATATAATAGATTTATTTAATAATAATATTAATTTTTATAATGTAAAAGAAGAAATTTTAGTTTAAAACAGGAAAGTTTTTATAAGTTTTGCGCTATTTAATCTATGGTTAATTTGTTTATAACATTGCAAATATCGTTAAGAAGCGCTCGAGAAATTAAGATTTTTATAGAAAATTTATAGAAAATTGATAAATAATTGAAAAAAATATATAATAATAATAATGAGAGAATATTATCTGATGGAAAAAAAATAATCAGACTTAGCTAATCGAGCTACGAATGATGTCATTGTTATTCCTTTCGACCACATTTCTTAACGACCAATAAGGCATTTGCTACTATTTTACTTTGGTTTCTATCTTCTTAACAAGATTTTTTAAAAGATACTTTGCGTCTTTACGGTCCCTAAACATGATTTAAAGTTTTATATAGCTTAAGGTTATTGCAAATAAGTCTAGTTTGAGGTTAATTGCAACAACCGACTCGATTCTATCCTATCGTAAAAGTTAGTGTCAGTTGTAGAGTCATCCATTTCCTGTAAAATACACGTTAAACATTGCTTATTCGTATATTAATGTAACTGTAACTCTTCTTCTTTTGTTTTTGATTTTTTTTTTGTAGTTTCACAGGTTACATAGGAAGTGTATGAGAAAGATTTGAATATTTTGCAAGCGCTTTATTAACTAAAATACATTTTTTCTGGATAGCAAATCAGTGGAGAATATATTTTAATATCAAATTAATTATATTTATAAAGAATTTTAAGATTAAAATGTGTAGTTGTTGGGAGAAAAAGCGAGAAAAAAATCGACGTTAAAGAAGAAAGATCCCATAAATAGTTTATAGGCCTTTATGTAGCTAGAAAAGTTTTATAAGAAGGAAAAATCTTTATTAAATCATTTAAAAGCACTAGTGAAACACATTTTTAATCTCTAAAGATAATTCGAAGAGTTTTACAATATTACAAATATTGTTAGAAAGAAAAATTGAGTCGAAAACAGTTATTAATAGATGAGCTAATTATGGATTAATAAGAATACAATCGAAGATTTAGAGAAAAGAATCTTTGAAAAATCACTAATTGGTCCAAGGACTTGTTTACATTTGAACGCATTAATGATCAGAATAAATTACAAAAGTCTTAAATATACCAAGAGAAAAAACTGTATTTTCTCTTTCGAGATTTATATAAGTTGTATCGTTTAGACGATACAACCACTTAATACCCTTGTATGGAGTAATGTTAATTAATAGTTACAACGAATCCCACAGGGAGTAAACTAGCTTATTATCTATGGGGATTTGAGGAGATTTGAGGATTTCAATAGTCTCCCAAGAGTCGTTAGCATGGATAGGAATTAAAGGATGTTGGTGGAAAAACAGTTTGGCTCATTAATCCATCGTCACGATCATTGGTCAGAAATATCTCGTTTTTTTTTTCCTAATTTATTGGGTCAAACGATGACGATCTTCAGATTAAATCATGTCACTCTTTAAATAAGAGAATAAGAAATGCTATTCTTTCCATCCGGCTTGAATAATCTACTCGATTTTAAGCTTGGAAAATACATAATGTTAAAAATTAAGCAGGAATGGGAGATTCTAAAGTATTTCGAACGGCAGTGCTTTGTTATAATTCTATGTAGAACCTGTTTACATTTTAAATATGCTTCTGAACTAGACTATATATTTATAATTTATCGAGTTCCTTTCACATGTTACTCCATCTCTGACTTGATCAACATAGCATCGGGGAGATGTATATATATATATATATATATTTGTAGTTTTCTTACTGGTTTGAATGGAATATTATTACGTACAAGTATGACAGATTTGTTGACAGTTTAAACACAGTTCAATTTAGAAATATAGAGTGGTGACAAGTAAGAATCAATAAGTTGACAAACAATATTACCTTCGAATCGACACCATGTCACATTGTACGTTTGAAAGAGAACAAAGGAAATCTCCATTGGTCCAGAATAGGATAGAATGTCAGCCGTGTCATTCTTAATTTAAAATATATTAGATACATATTCAAATATCTAAAAAAATTATCTATCATATGTAAAACATTCTGATATTTTGAGTGATAACAGGAAATTGAAAGAGTCACATTTTTCCTTTTTTTTCCACTTCTTCTTCTCTAGTTGAAAATTTATTACCAAGACAATCCTATCACTTTAACAATTAAGATAACAAGTTTACTTTTCATTTTGCTAGCTTCTTTGCTCCTTTATTTGTAAACAAATTATTCCTTTCCAAATATTTTAAATGTAATAAATCTGAGATTAAATCAGAGCACAGAGGCAATGACTTTGATACATCACATTTATCTATTTTATTTAATTAACACGATTTTTAACAATAATTTAATCATTTGTATACTTGATTTATTAGCTGAAATTTTGATATTTTTACGACTAAAAACAAAATATAATCGCTGTTATCGCATTTAAAGCTCCTTATGTAATGCTAACCTATGACATCTGGCTATGTCTTTAGGTTTTTCAAGACAGCATTAACATCAAACTTTCTTAGATTTATAAGCCATATTCTTAAGTTTTTTTTAAGATAAATTAAGCTATTTACAAGGATATCTTATACTTTACGACATTTACAAGTTCTAAACGATTTTTAAAATGCTGACAACCATTTTTAGGGTGTTTTTAGGAGATATTTTATCAAATAGGAAATTTTAGGAATGCAAAAACTATGTAAAATAGGGTGTAACTTACCTGGTCTTTCTCGACGAATCCAACAAATGCTGTTCTCTCCACTTCGACAGGCTGTCCCGATTTGTCATAAAGGGCAATCACAAAATGGAAAAAGTTGCTCTTCCTTAAGTTGGATGGAGGCTGTTTTTCGAAATGGGCACGACCTAACCCGATGCTGTAACAAGATGAAAATATCTTATCAGCGTATCTCGGCAATCTACCAAAGGATGCGTATTTATAATAAAGTTTTGTTTATAAACATCGTTCTTTATTAAATTGTGTCGACGCCAATTTTTCTGTTTGTTTTTGCAAAAGTAAAGATCGAAAGTTAAACATTAAGCGCGAAACTCGACGCAGGGTTTGAATACAAACCACTGGAGATTTTGCTTAACAGCGATGCGTGATCTATCCCGTGCAGCTGGATAAGAGAAAAAGGCAAAATAGAAGGAAGAACGAAGATCAAGCGCGATCTTCATTAGTACTTAGGTAAACGGCGGGTAAAGAGTAGCATTGTGGGCCTGGACGTGGCATTTAATGTTAGAAAAATGAAAAGAATCGCAGTCGGTGAAGTGTAGTCGTCAATTTGTCGAAAGACAAGGTCCCCAGACTCAAATTGAAGGCGAAACGGGTCATTAAGTGGCCCGAGGGTTATTAAGCAACGACTCACGACTCTGCAAAACCGACCTCTGGGACATAGCGTTCTTTTATCAACCGGCGCTACATTTTCTCCACATGTTGGTCTTAGTCAATCGGGAACAAAATCATTACTTACCTGGTTGGATTTTGGTCTAACATAGCGGGTTGCATCCAACCACCTCTGACACTTCCTAACTGGGTGTTGAGAGGTTCTTCCTTCAAAGTCGCCATGGGACCCCTTGGTTGGAGTCCCGTGTCTTGGAGTCCAAACATGGGCCTAAGTATCCTATTCCACACGGCGCCTTCACCCCCGTACTCGGCACAATCTTCTGTTAGGCCGTACAGGTTGTTGTATAGAAATCTTACAGTCCACCAAATAAAATTTCCGAGCTTTCGACGGCTGCGATCGCTACCTCATTAATATTACCGAATTGTCGGTAATTGCAACGTAGCAATGACCAGGTGAGAAGTTACTAGGACCGAATGTCCATAGCGCCGTAGCACGACGTAGCCCGATAGACGACTGAGTGGCCCCTTAAGAGTTGTCTGAGCAGGATGGGTGTGCGCTTTACCCACACTCCCGGTTGTTGACAAAGTGAGGGGCCGTCTATACTATCCCCTGCGTGGACGTCTCAGTTACAGCAGCACTGATTGCCTCTTCCACTTCAGACCAAAGTTACAGTCGGCACATCTAATCACACACGGGTGGTGTGCTAGTCGCTCAGACGTTGGTAAAGTAAATGGCGATTTGGCTGTACCAACCCTCTCGGGGTTGGCTTTTGTGCGCAGCCCAGCGAACGAAGTAACAGGCGCCTCCCTCAGGAATACGCCCCTTGGGAACGGTTGGTAGGCGCGCCAACAGGTGACTGACACTAGGCACGCCTCGGAACCGCCTCACGTCCAATAGCGAATCGTGACGTTGCCAACTGCCCAATGGAGGCGAATGCAGTAGTCATACAATTTACGCCCACTTAGGAGAGATTAGCATAATATCAACATCGTATCTAGCATCAGCTGTTGGTGCACGTGGTCTGTAAACATTGATTTTTCCTTCTTTTCTGCTTCTAGCTAAAAAGCCTAGCACTGCCCGAAATTATTTATTATCTATATCATTTTGTTGGCGCGAATTAAGTTTTGTAGATATTGTGGCCGCACAATGCTACAACCCTTGTTTTCCTCCGCATTATATTTGTTGTTTCATCGAATGATAGATTCTACCGTAGATGCTGCTAATATTTTTCCATCGCCTTTAGCTTGCTTCTTGCATTCATTTAGGGAGATTGCCCGAGCCATTCATCACTTCAACCGTTAAACTACAAACTTCTTTGTTTCCCTCGATGATCTGTCCCCTTTGGGACTACATCATTTGCACTGGCTCTCGACCTCTATATGTTCTGCAGACAAACTATAATTTTTCATTTTTTTCCCTTAACTAATGCCAGAATATAAATTGCCAACAACGAGGCAACGTAACTTTTTTCCAAATAAACTTATTATCTTTGATACTTAGCTCTCTTTTAACGCCATCGCTTATTGCGCCTTGATTCAGGCTTATTCAAAATTGCTACAATAATAAAAATAAAGTAGCTGGCTTTAAAACTCCTTCAACAAAACTGATTTCAATTTTAAACTTATTAAGCTTATTGCGGCTTTAATAATTTACTTATGCAAATATTCAAATAGAACTACTTTACTATCGATTTTTTTTAAACCAGGTTAAAAATACTCTAGCATTTATCATTAAAAAACACGGTATTATTGCAACTTTAACATAATTTCTGATCTCTTAACACGAACCGTACAACACGCAATCGGCAAGAAAGTATAATTGAGCGGCTTATCAACTGCAAAGGAACAATAGTTTGCTTTAAAGGCAGCTGCATGGGATTATCACTTAATCTTGTTAGTAAAGTGGATTATACAAGCCAGAGAATGCAAAGTATTCGTCGGAAACATTCTTTGCCTATTGTAATATAAATTAAAAATATTTACAAGAAATTAGTTATAATTTGACCTTTTAACACAGTACAAATTGCCGCATTGATAAAAACAATACAGTGATTAGTATGTTAATTAAATGACTGATAAGTTTAGTAAAGGTAAGAATAACGAAAAAAATCCGTTTAAAAATTTAATTTTTCTCATCTTGGTTAATTTTAAAAACAGAAGAAAAATTTCACAATGGATCGATCCAGTAAAATAATTATAATAATTATTATTATGTAATAAATAATAATAATTATTATTATTTCAGAAGTCAAACAAATCGAATAGGAAATGCAAATATTATGCGAAATCATTTGAATCGAAGAAAGAATTTAAGAAAAATAAAAATAGATATAAATAAATAAATTTAATTTTGCCATAAGGATTAAATGAAAAACAAAAAATAAGTGAATTATTTACTTGTGCGCTGTTTGTTCTTGTCATTTTATATCTTTTTAGTTACTAAAAGATTTACTTCCGAAGTAAGCTATTTAATTAATGAAAAGTCACTTTTAAAATTTATTTTATCAGCCTTTCTTTTAAGATTAAAACATTTAAAGTCTGAAGTCTTATATGATAGATAAGTCTTGGAGAAAACAACTTAAAAGAGTTAAAACCGACATTTAAAAGTTAAAAAGGCGGAAACACTCTTCACAAAAAACTGCTGAAAACTAACAAATTTTTAATAGATAAATTCATTTAATTATTCCAATTCTTCTCTACGATTTTCAGTGGATCGAAGTCTGTTCGTAGAAAGTTTAAATCGATCCGAATAAAACTTTAAAATATTTAAATATGAACCATTAAAATATATATTTCCTGAATTATGATGATAAAAATGGCACCTCAACTCTATATTTGTTAAAGAATTAATTAAATAGTTCTTTATTTTAAAAGTTCTCACATAATAAATGTAGAAAAGAATTTATTTCATAAAGTCTAAAATAAATTCTCGCATAAATAAAAAATAATTTGTATTTAATTATGAAAAATGGAAGATTTTAAATAGATGCTTATAGAATTTCAATTGAAGAAATATAAATTTCTTATAGAGCCTTTCAGAGACTCGGAGGAATGAGATGGAGACGAATCAATCACAAATGAACTTTTATTATTACTTTCTTCTTATTACAGTATTTATGTAAAGATTTAATTCGGGTCCTCTATTGAGGAAACTGGACCAAAAGACCATTGTGGTCTTATTAAAGTTAAATAATTAAAAATTTTTCAGCTTTAAATAGATTATGCTAAGGAAACAAGGTATTGTTCTATTTATAAAAATCCTATAAATTATAATTCTAAAATATAGTGTGCAGTACATAAGCCGAGGATATAGAAAGACAAGGGAAATGTAACACAGGCTTTTGGATAAGTGAAGGAGCTCTTGGTTTATTGCTATCTAGTTTAGTTTCTAGAATGGAGTATGGGATCTATATTAGCTTAGTGGGAAGAATGATAAGATTATTAATAGAGAAATGACTTCCTATAACTAACTCTATTTAAGATGAAACAAACGAAGTTGCAGCTACTCATTCCACGTGTTTACTGCAAATTAATTGAATTAAAGTAAAAGAAATATTTTCCTATCATTGCATGAAAATCCTCTTATGAAAAAAGCTAAATATTTTTTTAAAAATCTTTATATAATTCCATAAATTTAACTTCTAATTTTTAAATTATTTTTAAAATCTTCTAGAATATTTGAAATGAAACGATTAAAAAAAAATAGTCTGAAAAATTGATAAAAAGCATCATCCTCATTTAAATTAGCGATATAAATAGTAAATGATATTATGAAAAATTTGATATGATAGAGAATTTATCACTAATATAATTTAAGTGAAATTGAATTTACTGTATATAAGATATGCAGGCCTGTATTTATTGTATATACTGTAATACAGTATACGTGCAGCGTTAAATTAGTTTACCCATCTTGTCGATTGACAGCGTAACGAATGGGAGATTCTATAGACATCAATGTATAGTACAAGCTTTCAAGATCAAGCTGACTTTCTAAGAAACTAAAATGTCCACGGGAGATGACCTCAATTACAAACGAAACTTTAAAAATTTATTCATAGAATACAGGTGAAAAAATTGTTTATACGCTATAAACAGCATATTTTGAAAAAATATCCTACATAATAAATTAAAATATAATAATTTCAAAAAAAAAAAATTGTAAGAATGTAAAATTTAAATTTCTACGCGATATTTTTGAAAATATCAATAGAATTACATAATTCATCCAAACTCTTTAATTAGTAATTATATTTAGAGCAAGAAAATTAATTACATAGTCTGTATTATTTTTAGAATATAGAATCAGTGATAAATGGTGTTGAATAATTAAACAGTTGTTACATTTATAGAACTTTCTATTGCTTGGATTTTTATAATTCCACATAATGTAGAGAAAATCCTATTTAATGTAGGCCTACTTTATAACTTTAAGTAGAATGATTCTATTTTTGGTACAGTCGAATGTGATATTTTTAAAGTATACATTTCACAAAGAAAATTTGAAGAAAATAAAATTTTATCATCGATTTTTAAGCTATCGGAATGAAAAGTTTAATGCAATATCGAAT